ACTGCATGTTTATATTGTCTCTTTTGATATCAGCTATCATTTTTTGGCTGTCTGTTCGCCATTGCTCTTTTTTTTCATGCTCTATAAGATTTTGTAGTTCTTTAATTTGATCTGTTCTGGATGACTCCCAACTTTGTTCGTATTCATCAATGTTTTTGTCAATATATTTAGCTACGCTAGGCCCAAATTTTTTAATTGCTACAATCAATGCTAAAGCTAGTGAGAGACCACTGTAAAATTCATGTTCCAATACGTAAATTTCTTTTGAAATTAGGTAAGTAGAAAGACCAGCTGCAAACATATAAGGACCTGAAAAAAAATGTCCATTAAAAATTCATAGTGTGTGCCATACTGTACGATAAAAATACCTTTTTTTATAGTTCATGCAATATTCAAAAATTATAGTTAATTTATGTATTTTTGTCTTTTTTTCTCTAGACCTGTGTTTATTAATTCGTTTAGAATTGTTGATGAAAAGAATTCCAACAAAAATAAAAATTTTTGTTCTACATATACCAAAAATATGTAACCATGCATGGCCTGTCGATTTTCTTACGCTCTTTATAGTTAAATATACATGGGCTTTTATTTCCCCATAAAAACTTTTTTGTTAATAAATTTTAGAAAAATAAATATTGTTAATTTAAACACAAGAAAGTTTCTCGTAACATTAGCTATTTGAAATAATTATTTCACGCATTTTAGTGCAATAGTGACTAGCTAAGAAAACGGCTGTGCAGCAAAAGCGTGTTTATCTTTAACTAAAACGAACACACATTCTAGAGGGTCAATAAAATAAAAAATACTGAGAAAATTGGTACCAAAAAACTTAATACACAGTAACTTGCATCAATGAACAGACTCTAAAATAACTTCAACCAAAATTAAAGCTTTGATAGCTAAGTGGACGAGGCAATGCCTAGGCGTCTAAAGGGAAAAAGAGGTTAGTTAGGAAATAAAGAAATCAGACAGGTAGAGATAAGGGATATAGGGTCCATAAAAATCCTGTATATGTGGAATTTAAATACTATACTAATCTTTTATTAAGGAGGTTCAGGAGTAACGATAAAATGCAGAGATCATAATGATATTGCGTTTTCTGGGTAGCCTAGAATACGTAGAACTTATATGAATTTTTTCAATATTTGTTGTAGGTCAGTTTTAGAAGAATTGTACAAATAAAAATCAGGTGATTAACACACGCAGGCTCTCATGGAACGTAACCGCTTTGTCCCGCTGATATGAACTAAAAGTATTGAAAACTTGAATTGAAATAAAATCTACCTACGAATTAATTGTTGTTTAATAATTCAGTGAGAAAAATTTAGAGGTATGTTATAGTGAAATTTAAACAATGCCAACGAAAAACGTAAGTAAAATATAGAGGTGATTAGGTGCAACAAGAGGTACGCGGTAAAGGGGGCCAAGAATAGCAAAGAGAACTCGTGAGCAGAGTGAGAGCAAGACGAGTTAGCAGGAGTACAGCGAGAGCACAAGAAAATGAAGTTTGACGGTAAGGGTAAGCAGAAACTGTAGCTTCTCTCTTTCGCCACAGGCTTAGTTCTCTATGTACTCTTTCTTTACTCCTAGTTTATCTCTGAAACTCTTAACTTCTCTCCTGCACTCTCAATTTTCTCTGATCCTTCAACCTATTCATTCACGAACTCTCTACATTTTTTTATTATTTCAAACATGTAATTATTCTTTGCTTAGCTTGAACTGTTAAATAATTAAAATATTTTTCAGAATTTTTTATTATGTTATGCAAATCTCTTAAAATATGAATCTGACTAAATACAGTTTTTGAAGTACTATTGTTAAGTAAAATACGGCCTTAGGCGAGTGAGCATCGGCGATTGGAAACCCAACAAATTTGAGTATTATCAATAAAAAGAATCTTTAATGCTCACTCGCTAAAAGACTTATTTTTTATATTAATAATATTATAATCTGTTGGATTTCTAATTGCCGTTGCTTACTTGCCTATAAGCGTATTTTATTTACAAATAATATTAAAATCTGTTGGGTTTCTAGTAGCCGATGCTTAATTGCCTGAAAGAATATTTCATTCATTAATATTACTTGAATCTTTTGGGTTTGTAATCACCAAAGCTCCCTCGGCTAATAACGTTTTATATTTATAAATAATATTAAAATCTGTTCGGTTTGTAATAGCCAATGCTCACTCGCTAAAGGGCTTATTTATTCTTAAATAATACTAGGTTCTGTTGGGCTTCTAATTGCCGGTGCTTACTTGCTTAAAAGAGTATTATATTTATTAATAATACTACAAAACTGTTGAGTTTCTCATGGACGAAACCCACTCGCCTGAGTTCGTACTGAGTTATTAATAACACTCAATTCTACTGGGTTTCTAATCGCTGATGCTCACTCGCCTAAGACCGTATTTTATTTATTAATAATACTTCAAAAACTGTTTTTAGTCAGATTCATATTTTAAGAGATTTGCATATCATAATAAGAAATTCTGAAAAATATTTTAATTATATAACAGTTCAAGCTAAGCAATGAATAATTACATGTTTGAAATAATAAAAAAAATGTAGAGAGTTCGTAAATGAATAGGTTGAAGGATCAGAGAAAATTGAGAGTGCAAGAGAAAAGTTGAGAGTTTCAGAGAGAAACTGGGAGTAGAGAAAGAGTACATAGAGAACTGAGCCTGTGGCGAAAGAGACAAGCTACAGTTTCTGCTCTTCCTTACCATTAAACTTCATTTTCTTGTGCGCTCGCTGTACCCCTGCTAACTCGTCTTGCTCTCACTCTGCTCACGAGTTCTTTTTGGTACTCTTAATTATCTCGTATATTTTTCATAGTTCTCTTATATTTTCCGATTCACTTTTACAGTTTTCTTTGAGCTCCTGGTAATCACTTTTCTATAAAACTCTTGAACTACTCTTTAACACTCTCTGATTCTCTTTTGCTTCTCTTAAGTAATCTTTTGTTCTCATTGATGAGAGTACTAAGTGGGCAGTCCCTCGATTTGCTCCACCCCTCTCAGAAAAGTTTAGTTGAATTACTTTTTTTTTACTTTTTGGACAGAAAATTGCTAGTAATATATCCATTTATTAATAACTGTTAATCATTGGAATTTTTCAATTTTTTATTGTGTTCTAGTGACAATTGTTAATACAAAGCTTAGAGCATTAGTTATAATAAATATTATAAAAAGTCTTAGACCTCAAATTCTATAAAAATAAAATAAAAATTAATGTTTAATAATAAAACCCTTAACCTGCTCACGATATTTACGGCCGCTTACACGTACTTAACACGGATGTTGATGGAAGCAAACGATGGGGAATTCCGGGACTGTGCCTGTGATTGGTGATGAACCAGTAATATGACTTTATTTAGGTCTTTTGTTGTACAATTTTAGTCTCCACGTATTCATGATTATGTTTTGGATGCAGTACGGGACTATGGTGATATAAAATTCAAGTCACTCTTCCCGGACTCATCTCTGGACTCCACTGTGCGGCTGTTCTATATTTTGACTAATACTGCGTTTCGTTTATTCAAGTTAGTTAAAAATAGGGCTACACAGCACGGATTTAAATGTCTGGTACCGAAATGGCGATGTTTATGCACACAGGTGAGATGGTACTTCTAAACTCACTATTTCATTTGAGTTTCATTTTTCCGGAATCATTTGACAGCCCTAGACTGCAGTGTGTAATGTAGGTAGTGTAAGTCGTATACGGTATATTGCACACATGAATGCAAACTCAATGTTAAAGCATCTTTAGGAGCTTCATAGTCTTATCAAGAACCATGACATCAACGTATATTTGAGACCTGGCTCACTCCAACCGGAATTCAATTCTATATACGTTGGACGGGTATAAGTTAGTTAGAAATGATCGGGACCTCTGCCCCAGAATGAGTAAAAAAAACATGCAGAGTGTCGGAGTGGCCTGTTATGTGCACGAAGATCTTGCTGTTAATATTTTGAATTCGCCCTGAACTCATCACTTTAATAAAACAGAATATTAATTGATCAAGAGGATGGAATCGACCACTCAAAAATTAGTACTTGCCAGTGTACATCGCAGACTGAAGGCTGATATTTTGACTAGATTTTTTGAAATTTTAGAGAGATTTAGAGCAAAGTATTAAAATATTATTGTAGTAGTATTAAATGTATTTGAACTCAAATTTATTGGGCAAAGATTTCTATTCGAAGCACTTACGTGGGCAGATAGCTGAATATTTAATTCACTTGGTACCATTGTATTCCATACATTACCGTAAAAATATACATATGTGGCTAGATGTTGTCTTGGTTGACTCAGCTCACATAGTAAAGCTATAAAATTAGTCAGCTACTCCGTTGTTTATCTGTAAACATGACAACAAGTAGGTAGATTATTGTTTTGGAGGATCGATCAGGAAAAAAGACTGTAGTTTCGCGTGATCTTAGAACTTTTTTCCACAAACTACTTTCTGTCTCCACATCTCGATGGTCTGATTGTATTTAAGGTGTTTGACCACATTATAACTAGACAGATTTGCGAGTACCTGGAAAGATGTTCTTGAATATCACCCATGCTGTTTGCTTTTTGTCGGGGGCACAGTACTCAGACTGCTTTGTTAACAGTAACTGATGAGATTAGGCTTGGTGCCAAAAGACGCCTGGTCACGATGGTGGTTTACTTTGATTTCAGGCATAGATTTGATACCATATGTCACTCAGCGTTACTAAAGGTTCTTGATAACTTAAATTTCCAGGCAGAGGCAATGAAATGGTTGCATTCTTCTATCTCAATAGGTTTCTCAGAGTTCTTCACCTGGCCCTGCATTGTTTATAGTATTTGTGAATTCGGTACTTGGTGTTCTTTGCCATGGTAAGGCGATGTTATTTATTGACAATCTCCAGATCTTCCTGCAGTTTAGGCCAGCGGATCTGCCAATGAAAATTCCGCTCATAAATAAGGATACAGAAGCTGTCGTTTAATAGTCCAAAAATTGGAGGTTAATGTTTAATAATGAAAAGACTCACGCCGTATTATTTGTCTCAGTTCAATGTCACATACGTATAAGCAAGGAATCACTGCCACGGATTATGGTTAGGGATCACCATATACCTTCTTTGAGTGTGATTACCAGTAGTGACCTCTCGTGGAATTCACACATATTTCTGGTTTTTGCTCTAGAGTACATAGAGTTCTACATACATACACTTTGAGTACTGCTGTTTGATTTACATCGACCTCTCCAGCCATCTTAAGAAAGTTAACTAGGCTTATGAACTCTGTTGTGTGTTATATTTTTTGTCTAAAACGTGACGT